AATGTTAACACGTGTCTCAAGTCATGCTTTTATCTAATGGATTAATAATTTGGATACATTCTTTTATCCAAATTACAGGTCTATATTTATAGCACAAAATTGAAACCCTAAATTTTACTAGATGCAAAGAATAAGAGATGCTCCGGTTAGTATTTTCTTTTAAAATTTTTAGAATTTTTTAGTTACTATTTACATGTTAAATTATTATAGTGATTGAAAAAATTATTTAAAAAGAATAATAAATTGTAAACTATATGAATATAATATAAAAATTATTATTAATATATCATAAAATATTAATATTTTAATTTGATTTAGAAAAAAAAAATATTTGTAATAAAGAAAATATAATTGCAATTATATTTATAATAGAAGTTGAAAGTAAATATTTAAAAATTTAAATTTGTAGCAATGTTATTTAATATAAAGTTACTATTAAATTTCAATTGCTTTGCTAAACTTAGTTTATATATTTAACAAGTGAATTATTGTTAGACTTAGTTTACTTAATTGTTAAATAATTGTATTTTTATTAATAATAGTTAGAGAGTAATTATTGATGAGATGAATTATGTAATTTAATTTTTTTGTGTAGTATATATATGTTAAATGTGAAACAAATGGTATATAATGAATTAGAAATGATTTAGGACAAATTTTGTAGGTGAAGGATGATTGAATTTGTGATAAGGGTGTTACTTGAAGGAAATAAAAAAAATGATTAAGATCAGACGTGGGATAAGTTTGGATACTTTGAAAGGAAAGATTCATGTATTGAAATTGTTTACTAGTAAGGTTATGTGTAAATTGATTTCATAATTTTTAGTAAACTCAATTGCTAGACAATATACAATTATGGATGTATATAATGATGAAGATATTGATTGCATGTTAAGTGTTTATTTACAACAAAATCAAAGAAGTGCAATTGAGCTATATGTAGATATTGCGTTTAGTGAGAGTTCTTTTGTTCAGTCTTAAGGTGTGTACTTAAATTTATCGTTTTCACATGATAATATTATTGACAATGCTCAACTTCCATTGATAACAGGTATACGTATGGTTACTTTGATTGTAATTTGTATTTAATATTATAAAATATTTGTTTACCTAACAATGAATTTAATGAAAATATAGAAAGTTAATATGAGGATGACAACATTGATGATGATAAAAATGAATGGAAAATTCTATTAGATAATACATCTAATATTGATTTAGAAGGATATTTTGTTTCAATGTTAAATATAGCTGAAAATCCATAAGAAGGAAGTATTTGTAAAGACTATAAGATTAATTTTTATTAATTGACAAATAAAAGAAAATAACTCCATTGCGTGATTGTAATACGGGTGTGGTTAAAACTCCTTTTTAGAATGCAAGTCAACACTATACTTATATTAATTGGAAACTTTCTGTCAAGAAATGAAAAATTTATATTTTCATGTTGATCAAACATGGAGTAAGGGAGATGCATTATATGTTGGACAAGTAGTTGAGTCTAAAGATGATGTTATGGCTATTAAATATTTTGCAATGAAAATACATTAAAGTTATTTTGTAGTAGAGTCACAACCAATGAAGTTGTATGCAAATTTTCCAAATGATATTATTGGATGCCCCTTGAGAGTTAGAGCAACATTACCCAAAAATTTGAATAAGTGGAAAATCAAAAGATGTGGTAGAACATATACATGTGTTAATTCGATGATGTCTCTATACCACAAAATACTAGATTTAAACTTCATTTGCTCATGTTTTCTTGGTAAGTTTAATTTTACCAAGTAATTGGGTGATAGTAGCCTATCTGTAATTTACCAACATTTCACATAATTAATATTTTACTTGTAGGTATGGTAAAAGAACAATCATTAGTGTCAATCACATTAATTCAAGAAAGGTGGTTGTGGACAATATGGTTATAAAGTTTTGTGGAAGAAAGCATAGAAGACGAAACAAAAAGTCATTGAAAAAGGTTTTAATGGCTAAAATGAATTGTATACTACATTGTCAAGATGGTTAGAGTACATGCAAGTACATGCTTCTGAGTTTTTATTCATAAAATTGAAACCAATGAGTATGTGATTGGTCTCCAAGTGGATAACAAATTTAGAGTCTTTCATCGATTGTTTTGGTCCTTTAGACAATGTTGAAGTGCTTTCAAGTTTTGCAAACTGTTAATACAGGTAGATGGTACATTCTTCTATGATAAGTACCAACAAATATTACTCATTGCTACAACTCAAGATGACAATAATTGTGTGCTTTCAATTATGTTTGTTATTGTTGAAGGGGAAATTTTGACAATAATAGCAAATGGCTTTTGGCATTTATCCATCTTTATGTCACAGAAAGTAGGTCTCCATTTGATATATGAGACATCAAAGCATCAAAGGTGCAGTTTTGTCAGGCTTGTGATTTATTATTGAGTAATCTATAAAATTTTATATTTGTTAAATGTTAATTGAAGGATTAATTGGTATTGGAATAAATTTAGATGGAGTTTGGAATTATTTTTTTATTTTTTTAAAAATGAACAGTACTGTATGAACAGTGCCGAATGAACAGTAAAATCGCCTATGAACAGTGCAAACTGCATACAAACCGCGTATGAATAGTAAAAAAACTGCGTATGTACAGTGACCGCTGACGTCATCAGTGACATCATCCTGACGTCATGGCTGACGTCACATATGCGTACAGTGCGTGTACAGTACGCGTGCACAGTATTTTCGGCGTGAATAGTGCCCTGAACAATGTTTCCGGCGTGAACAGTAAGGCAGTGAACAATGTTTTCGGCGGTGTGTCACGACCCCTTTTATAAGGAACCGAGAACATTGTTTCTACATCACATACTTATTTAAGATAAATAAATAATAGAGAATATAAGTATAAATTCACTTCTCATTCAAAATAAAATAAAGTTTCTTACAACAAATATCCAACAGAACAACATAATATTACATTTAGTTCATAATATTCAAAATACCTAAAATTATACTACGTAGCTCCCTTTACATGAGATCTCAAAATATAAGGAAAAATGATTTTAGTGCATAATTGCTCTACTTCAGCTTCTAACATTTCTCTACTGGCCCTTCAGCATGTGAAGTAGATGCAACACCTGCTACATCTGCTCACGTACCACCGTACGATCATTGCAATACACACGCACACAACGATATAGAAAGAAATGCAAGGGTGAGCTTACCAAACATAAAATAAAATCATATATATAGAGCAAAATATATTTCTCACAGCAATAACCCCATGCATTTCTAGCCCATCTAATGCACAGCATGAAAATGGTTTCCAACTGGTTTCACAGCCTAAGTAATCCAGAAGGAACCGAGCCAGTCTTGGAGCGATCCATTCCGGTATCTAGATCTAGACAGCACAGGACAACAGCTCAGCATGAACTTACCGTTACACGTCTACCCACCTAAACATGTAACTCGGCTCTATAATGATGCAAAACATATATTTCAGCATGATGCACACCGCTAAAATTATTTTAACAGCTCAGTTAAGGCAAGTTTAAGATAGATCAGCCAAAATCTCAGCAGTTACAACAGTTACAGATTAGAAAATAGCTTTTATTCAATAGATCTAACAAAATCATATCAAAATATCTTGAAATAGCATATTAAACCATTCAAAACGTAGTTCATAGGTTAAAGTAAACTCCCCTTACCTTAGAATGATGATTCACACCAGATCTATCGAATATTACTTATTTTAACGCAAGATTCACCGAAGATTCAGCTTTAGAACAGAGTTTCTCCTAAGATATCATCAACTATTTATAAGAAAGAGAAGAAGAAGAGAAACGAACGGTAAATCTAACTTCAAACTTATAGAAACTTACTTCAAATACTTCAGAATAGAGGTAAAATCTTAGATCTGGCAAGAAATATAAATTTAGAAGGGTTTATTATGGGAGAAAATGGCAGTATATGGCCTTAGAACCTTTGAGAACCTTGGAGAGGAGTGAAGAAAAGAAAATTTCATGTGGAGCCTCCTTTTTATAGAAATTTTTTGAAATTTACTGTTCACCGTCGGAATTTACTGTTCATCGCTAGAAACATTGTTCACCGCCTTACTGTTCATGCTGGAAACACTGTTCAGGGTACTATTCACGCCAGAAATACTGTGCACACGTATTGTACACGCACTGTACGCATATGTGACGTCAGCCATGATGTCATGATGATGTCACTAATGACGTCAGCAGTCACTGTTCATAAGCGATTTTACTGTTCATTCGGCACTGTTCATACGGTACTATTCACTTTTTTTTTTTTTATATAATTTCAAACTTCATCTAAATCTATTCCAGTACCAATTAATCCTTCAATTAACATTGAACATGTATAAAATATTATAGATTACTCAATAATAAATCACTAGCCTCACACGGTGAACAGTAAATTTCAAAAAATTTCTATAAAAAGGGGGCTTCACACGAAATTTTCATTCCTTTACTCATATCCAAGGTTCTCAAAGGTTCCAAGGTCATATACCACCATTTTCTCTCATATTAAACCCTCCTTAACTTAGATTTGTTGCCAGATCTGAGATTTTACATCTATTCTGAGGGATTTGATGTAAGTTTCTTTAAGTTTGAAGCTAGATTTATCTTTCATTTCTCTTCTTCTCTTTCTCATAGAAGTTCATAGTGTTCTTAGGAGAAACTCTGTTCTAAAGCCAAATCTTCGGTGAAACTTGCTATAAAACAAGTAATATTTGGTAGATCTAGTGTGAATCATCGTTCTGAGGTAAGGGGAGCTTACTTTAACCTATGAACTACGTTTTGAACGGTTTAATATGCTATTTCAAGATGTTTTGATATGATTTTGTTAGATCTATTGAATAAAAGCTATTTTCTAAGCTATAACTGCTGTTAATTGCATCTCTTGTCATTCAACATCTGGTGTGAGCTCTATACCACCTCATATACTCAGAGTTAGAACTCAGCTGACCAATCTGGGAGTCATTAGTCAGACCCAATCTCTCCTTCTCTCCCAAATGTCTAATACATCCCTCAGCTTCTCTTGCCAATTCTCTATTGTCTTCCCTCGCAGTGTCATGTCATGTAGTGCATCTGGCTGGTATGGGGCACGAGGTATATGTTGAACCATACTAAATTGTCGCATTACTCGATCTAATTAGTGCCACTCACACACTTGAAAACATACCAGAGGCACTACAGCCCTCCACAAATCCATTCCCTCACGACATATAGGTGGTAATGCATTAATCAAATCAATCGAATATGGTTGCCAAATTATCTGCATAAAATATATCAGATATTAAGGTAAGGTTACTTTGAATATATGATAACAAGCTTGAAATATGACTAATATGACTATAAGATATGTCTAATTATCTATAATAGATTTACCTTTTCATGACTAAGTATGTCAAATTTATATCTATAATAAGATATGTCCTTCCTCCCTTTTCTATTCCTTTGGTTTGCCAACCACCTGCAAACAAAATTAAGCATAATGTTAATACATTTGTTATGATCCAATCAGTATATAACAAATACATGTTCCATATTACCTGGTAGCATATGGAAGATGGACTCGTGTGTGAGGGGGGTTACCAGGAGCTAGAACTGGAAACTTATCGCATGCCCACATGACAAGTAATGCAGCCATTCCACCTAAATCATGCTTATCAATGTTGGTGGCCATATACAGCTCCCCATACAAAAATCCCAAAATTGTAGACCCCCAACTATATTCTCCAGTGACAGCAAAATCCTCTAGTAAAAGTAAGTACCTCACAGAGATTCTACTGCTGGAGTGATCACTCAACATAAAACTCCCAAACAACCGCAACATATAAGCCCTAGCAAATCGGGTGATCTGTAAAGGATTTTGTGCATGCATCGCCACATGGGTAAAATGTTGGTCTAGCCAACTCGTCTTCAAGAAGCTACCAACAAAATCTGCACGTGATGGTCTAATCCCTAGGCTCTCCTCAACAATATCATCATAATTACCTCGAATAGGTGCTATCACAGGTCTTCCATCAATGCGTAAACCTAACAATACTGATATATCCTGCAAAGTGATTGTACACTCGCTTGGAGGTAAGTGAAAAGTGTGTGTCTCTGGCCTCCATCTCTCTACTAATGCAGTGATCAACGGGAGGTCTAATGGGAACTGACATATGTGAGCAATACTAGTAAATCCTGCAAGCTCTAAATGTGGAAGAATCTCCTCTGGAACACTATCCAAACCAGCTGAAATAAATTAGCTCTTCCTAACCTTCAAAATAGGATGATCTTGACCATCCCATATATGTTCAGACACATGAATATTTTGTAACCGTAATAATGAAGGATCCTCTGGTACAGGATGAATGACTTTATTCTGTCCTGAAGATGACGCCATCTACAAAAAAAATTTATTTATATATGTGTGTGTTAGTTTCATTGTTTAGATCATTTTCACCCATTTTTATTTAGGACTTACAAATAATATGTTATTAACTCAAATACACAAAATATCAATTATCTATAAAAATTAATATGGTCAACATTTTAAATTTGAATATAAATTATACAAAAAAATTTCATAACAACCATCACGTATAATACCACAATATGTTCCTAATTGATCACATTATTCAAATACAAAATCTATTTATAACATTTTTTTAGTGGAATACAAATAAAATCAAATACAATGATTCATAACAAATTTTCAAATTTTGACTAAATAAATTGATAATTTGTCCAGAAATATGAATATATATTTTATGAATATTTTCTCCTATATTTAACAATTTTTTTAACTTAGTACATCAAAATAAATTACTATATTAATTAAAAACTTTAATCGTTAAAATTCATCATACAATAACAACAGTAATTAACAAGTTCTTTGTTTTCTATTTTTTATTGTTCATCATTTATTAAATTATATAATTATCAATAATTAACTTCAACTAATTACAATCACTCCGAAATTTTATATTCAACATTCAAATTTTTTTCTTCCTAAATTTATTTACATAATTATAAATAATTTATCTCAACTATTTTATAGCCTAAATATTTATTTTGGATAACTAATTTTCTTATCTCATTTCATAAATAACACTGCAATAATAATTTAATTTTACATTATTAGTAACTTATTTTATTCTTTCATCATAAATTAAATTATATAAATAATTTTTTTCAAAACTATTTAATATCACTCCAATAATTTAAATTACATAACTAAATTTATTATTTCATCATTATTAACCAATATTAATTTTATTTTTAGGTTGCAATTATTTATATAGTCAAATATTTATTACTATAATTTTAATATAAATTATTGTCTACGATAATTTTATAGTAACATAAATCAAAATCAAAATTTATGTTATAAATTTTATACACTATTTTCTAATTATCATTTACAATTATTTTCTATTTTCCTATTCTAAATTTTATTCAACTATTTATTATTGTATTTAATTTTTTAAATTATTTTTTAGTTGTTTTTAAATTTACACATCAAATTATTGCCTTAATTCTACATGCAAGTTTAATTTTTATACTAATAATTACTACAAATATTTAATTTTACAAAATTATGGTTATTATTTAATTATTATAAAATTAACAAAATTATTTCAATTACATTTTTAATCTAAATATTTCTTTAAATTTTTTTTTAGACTAAAAATTTAATAAATTTAGTTATAAATTTTTTATTTTTAATATTATTTTTACTATAAAAATTTTGGTCACAATAAATTTTTTTATTACAATACAAGTATTTTTATTTATAAAAAGCAAAAAAAAAACGTAAAAATAAATTATATTAAAAATAGAAAAACCTGGTAAATTTTTGGCTGGAATGTGGTGATTTCTGGCGTCGGAGGTGACGATTTCCGGCAACAAAGGGTTCCCAATGACACCAACAAATTATCCGGACAACGACGCGTTTCTCTGGCGGCATCCGGCTAGCTTTCATCTTTGTTCACGGTTAACAGTGCAGTCTCAACCTCCTTAATCTTTCACTCCAAAAACACCTTCAATCGCTGCAAACAAAACAGATCTAGACACGATTTTACAATGGATTACTAATCTCACTCACGAATCACGCTCAAATGATAAAAAAACACCCACCCAACTTGCTGAACCGAAAAAATGGACGAACTGTGTAACTGAAACAGCGGAGGGGAGAAGGGAAGAGGGAGGCGCCCTTTTCGTCTGACTCAGTGACAAAACTACGTGATTGGCCCACGTGTCACGGAGCAGGAAAGAGAAATTCAAATTCTATGCATTTCGTCCAAATTTAGGGCAAAACCATTAAATAAAAAAATCAAAAATTGATTTTGTCTAGTTTTAATACGAAACAAGTGCTTACATGACAAAAATTTATCCCAGACAAAAAATAACTTTTTGTTTTACTTTATTTTAGTAAATATTTTTCAAATTAATATTATTTAAATCACTATCCCCCATTATTATTATAATGATTGAGATTTTCTAGTGTTATAATTTTTTTGTCTATTTTTTCATTTCAATTGAATACAAATTACATTATATTTCTATTTTACACAGCATACAATGTGATCCACGCTCACTATTACCATACCCCGTACTAATTAATAATTTGTCCTTCTTCTAAACAATTTAAGTAACAAACGCAACTAGCACCACATATAAACAATTTATTAAACATAAGTTGTTTAAGTATGATGTAACTTATGTAAAATTTACAAATCGTTAGGTATAATACAACTTATGTAAAATTTACAAATCGTTCAAACTTTGTGCAATGCTTTAAGTTCATTGAGGTATTTGAAATTTTTAAAAAAATATATTTTTGAACATTTTTTATTTTAAATAAAAAATTCTTTATTACTTCTATATATTCTTTCCTCAAAATCCATATTGTTCTCAAATATTTTCTTCATTTTTCTCGAACAAATTCACATATACATTTTATTATATCTAATTGTATAATCTTATTTGATTATTAATATATATTGATTATTAGCATTTAACTAAATTTTTTTACACTAAAATATATTAATTTTTTTATAAGTAATTATATTTTAAAATTTAATGTAAATTTATCAATTTTTATCATTTTGATGCATACTGTTCATGATAGTTAATAAATAATTTTTAAAGAGTTATTAGTCAAAATTTTATTTTGTGTCTATACATATACGTGGAGGGTTCAAATTACACGGTGTGATTTACACTCACCTCTACATCATCACTAACTTGCGTATCATTTGACAATGAGCATCTTGGAATTGAACACAGGAGACTTAAAAGTTTAGGTCCTAGAACATCTCATAATTTACCAAGGCCGATATGCATTCCAAAACAATTTATGCACTCAAAATGTGATTGGACCAAACTTATGTTGAACTACATCAAGACTATCCCTTCAATTGACAGTTTTTTGATGGACAATCCCTTGACAGGTAAAAATTGTTCCAAAATCCTTACAATTGGAATTTATAGCTGATCACATTTTCTTACCAACATCTTGATCTCTCACTATGATTACATTGATGCCTTCACACGACAAATAATTTAAATGGAAAAAAAGGGATTGCGAGTGAGGGTTCAGCACCGTTCTTTTTGCTCCAGGTCTAATAAAACAGGAACTAGCTGGTTAATAATCCATGCCACCCATGCCACCCATGCCACCAGGCATAGCTGGAACATCTTTGTCATCCTTTGGAAGTTCAGCCACAACAGCTTCAGTTGTTGTCATCAAAGATGACACACTGCAAAAAAAGGGTGATAAGAAAGCTACACAAAAACAAAAAATATGCATCTATGAACCTGTTTATTAACGTTTACTAAATAGTTTAGTTTTATAAAATTAAAAAACTATAAGCGATCTTCAAAAATTATCTACAAAGCAGTCTTAAAAAAAATAAAAAAAATCCAACCAGCCTATATCTGAAGCAAAATTCTAAACACCCTTACCTGGCTGCATCAACCAAGGCGGTCCTAATCACTTTCAAGGGGTCTATGATTCCAGCTTTAACCATATCAACATATTCACCTAGTTTTTTAGGACAAAAATACAAAAGTGTGACTGACATTGAATGAAAACACAACCAGAGAAAAAGAAACAAAAAAACACTTACCTTTGGCTGCATCATATCCTAGATCATGATTATCCTGTTCTAACAGTTTGCCAATGACAACCGCACCCTCAACACCCGCATTTGATGCAATTGTGAGCACAGGTGTCTGCATAATTTTTAAGAACAGATAATAAATGTGTGATAAAACAAAATAGCTATTTACAGTAGATCTTGAAGGAAAATTGAATCCATAAAATTGCAGGAGATACCAAGCGTCAATCAAAATACTAGGAGGAGCTAGAGAGGAAATCAGCAAAATTTCAGCAACACAAACCTTCAGAGCGTTTTGGATAATCTGAACACCAATCTTCTGCTCGAAGTTAGCAGTTTGAAGTTTATCCAACTCTTGTGATGCATATAGGAGAGCAACACCACCACCTCAAGTAAGATAAAAAATCAAAGTTAGATCAGATCTGATTGCAGATTGTAAAATTAACCATAAAAATGTCAGTATCAATATTTTACCTGGAACTATGCCCTCCTCTACAGCTGCTTTAGTTGCATTTAAAGCATCTGTCACTCTATCCTTCTTCTCACCAACTTCAGCCTCACTGGCTCCGCCAATCTGCAAAGGAGCAGTTTCAAATGTAAATTTTTCCCTTGTAGAAACTTGTTGGGATGTCCACTGGCAAAAGAAAACCATTAAAAATCAAGATTTAGTTAAGTAGGCATACCTTAAGCACTGCAACACCACCAGAAAGTTTGGCCAATCTTTCCTGTAATTTTTCCTTGTCGTAATCTGAAGTGCTATTTTCAATTGCTGACCTAATCTGTTGTCAGAATTCATCACTAACAAGTGAGATGCATTATCATTAAACTTGATGATCATAGGACAAAAATGGAAAACATGAACCATGGAAAAATCAAATCTATAGATCAACTCAAACCTGTTCACATCTTTCCTCAATTGATTTCTTGTCACCTGCTCCATCAAGAATGACTGTGTCATCCTTAGAAATGGTTATCTACAACATTAAGAGCTGTAGTTAGTTGTCTACAATACATAAATGATTTACCCTACAAACTATCAGGGCAAGAATAGAGGACAGTTTCATTGGAAATTTATTCCAAGACTATGGATACAGGAAAGCCACCACCAGAATCAGCAAGAAACATTAACCCATCAAAACAGTACCAAAATTCTGAGGGACTCAAATGCATTGCAAATCAAGCTAAAATCTTACCTTTTTGCAAGTGCCAAGCATATCCAGATCCACCTTTTCAAGCTTCAAGCCAAGCTCTTCAGTGATAAGCTATTAGGATACAGAAA